GGGGGGTGTCAGTGTAACGCTTCCTTGCCAACTAATTCAGATTAATAATACAATTCAGAGGAGAGAATAATTAACCAGTAAGAAGCTAAGCGGCATGATACAGTGTAAAACCAATTAAGCACGACGACAACAAGAACAATGGCGATACTAATAAAAAAACATCCTCCTTAGTTCTTATCCATTTATACAGCGAAAAAGTTTGCCAGATAAATAAGGGGAATGTCGCCGGAGCGCCCAACCGCCATGGGCCTTACCGAAATCCTTGTGTGAAGACATCCAGCCAATGCCCCTGAGTGAGACGAGGGCCAGCAGGCCGGAGCCCACGAAGGAGCCAATCCCGGAGAAGAAGAAGAAGAGTCCCATGATGGCGCTCTGCATGGACTTGGGGGCAGCAGAGTAAGCAAACTCCAGACCTGTAGGGGGCGACGGCAGGAGAGGCAGAGCACTGTCAAACCTGTTACTGGGGTGAACAAATGGGACAGACAGGCACGCACACGCACACGCACACGCACACGCACACGCACACGCACACGCACACGCACATACATGAAATTTGTATTCATATGTTTGTGGGGATTCTCCTTTAATTTCCAAGGGAAAACCCCTAACCTTAACCAAAAGTAACCAAAGAAATACAAGGCTTTTGAATTTTTAGTCTTTTAATTGCAGTCATAGATTTTTAGAGAATTGAGCTTCCCCTCGTGGGAACCTAAAAATTCCCCTTGTGGGGACAATGTAATATATACATAACCCACACACAGGAACTGTGCACATTGGCAAGGCTGGCGGGGGGGGGGGGGGTTTCCATGACGCATCATCTGAAGCAGTGAGCATCAGACAGCAGAATTCAGAAGAAGGGCAGAAGAGAGCGTATAATTCCCTGAGTTTCCTGTCCTCAGGCTCGGCAAATGCATTTGGTGGGTGTTTGGGTTAGAAGGTTGTTTAAGGTTGAACCGGAGCATAATTAATCTATGAGGTCCCAATCCACTCATTTGGTTAGGAAGAGGAAGGTTGGTGGGCTGACAGTGCGGGGCGGGGGGGTGGACCAAGAACATTTTCTGGTCTCCAGACACTTCAAATGTGCGACAAATGCAATAAATCAATAAAATTAATAAACAGATGACCCCCAGCCAATCACCTGCCTGCTGTCTGACATCGGCGGCTTCACGGCATTTCAACATCATGCTACTCTACTGTCCAGTCGGAGCCACAGACGTTAAGACCGATTACTGAGGCACATCGGGTATGGAAGCTTCCGGAGTCATTTCTCACAGGAGAATATTACCATAAATTAACACGACATTCAACAGCACCTGCACAGGGAAATGGGGGGGCGGGGAACACACACAGGGCTGCCTGCCCCCCCGACTCTGCAGTGTGTACACAGCTGCCACTGTGACTTTTGACCTCTGCATCTAACCAGGAAGGACCCTCAGTAAAATGAATTAACTAGACTACTCAGTGTCTGGAGACCAAGTGGGATTTTAAATAACTGAATAAAGAGCTCTGAAGTTTAGGCAGACAAACCATTTTGGATAAAGGTACCTGCTGGGTAACCAAACAGTGTGGAGATCTCCATCTCTTATCCTACTGGCCAACGCCTAAACACACAGCCAATGCACTCCAAAGCAGGACCCATCTGAGACACTGAGGGCGATCTCGCCATTACGCTGGACTGAACTCACCCTTTTGCAAGGCTAAAGGCAGAAATAATACAACATATACACACAGACCAAAGAAAACACAGAAATGCCTGTTTTTCCAGGAAAAGGGGAGGCTGATAATTGTTTCTTGATCGCTTCAGAGAAGGTGATCAAGTAGCACCCCTGGAAAATAACACCTAGGAAATACAAAACTACAGATCGAATCACAAACACGATGGTAAAGGACCCAGCTGATAACTGGTAGGTTCACAGTCACGGTCCAATGGTCCGGCTGCTAGAGGCCGGGGCCCACTGGGGGCCCGCAGAGAGGCTGACGCAGGTGACGGGATTAGGCCGACAAGCAGACCTTTCCTCTGGATACTGGTACACGGGGCAGGTCCAGTAGAAACTGGGGCCCAAGGGGGCCTGAAGTGACTGTAGCAGTCTAATACAACATGGGGAAGGAGGGGAGGTGACCTTTCCCCACCCGCGACAGTGAATTATTTAGAGCTAGCAGCTGAAATATTTAATTTCCCCCTCTCTCTCTCACTCCCCAGTGAGTGCGAGGATGTGATTATTCTTTCCCTGGATATAACACTAGCCTTTAACGCTTGCAAAAGAGAAATATATAACTAAAAGCTCCCTGGGGGGGCCAGCGATACGCACGGCGGTGTGCTCCCAGGGAGCCAGGGCTCAGCCTGCACAGCCCCTCTCAGCGGGGGCACTGCCACTGTGGGATACGGTTAACAGGAAGTGAGGCCTCAGTCCAGGTCACATGTCTGTCGCCTTGTTTCCATCAGGGTGTGCGGAAGGCCAGAGGAAGTGTTTATTTTTTTATGCTGTTTCAGTGATGTCTGGCACTTTTTTTTTTACACCACCACTTCTCTCACTTCAAGGGATCCTGTGGGGAGTCAATGTACCTTTTCTTAAAAAAAAAATCAAAATTACACCCCCCCCCATAACCAACAGTCCCAGTCCACTTCCTCCACATTGGGTATCACTGTCAAAGTCAACAGGAGTGAGAGGCACCAGAACTAGCCATGAAATGTCAGCCACCCCGATGGCAGGTGACAGATAAGGTCCCACGCAACCCCAGAGCATCAAAGAAGGGCTTCAGTATCCCAGACAAACCTGCAGACCCGACGCGGCCCTGACCCGTTAGCAGCCCGCGGCCCCGGGTGACACCCCCTGCCTCGTCAGCCTCCTCAGAGCAGCACTTACAACCCGTTAGCCGGCGACCGGAGTGCTGTGAGACGCGGGCTGGAGACAGAGAGCGAGGGAGGCTTCATCCTGGGTACCTCAGTGCTCTTATTTCCACTCTGTCGCAAGGACCCAGAGGCACAAATGTGCTGACAGAGGCAAAACCAGGACAGAAACACTTCTCATCAGTACAGGGTAAATATACCAACGCTGGCAGTCACGCCTGAAATTCACATGTACCCTCGCAACTGCTCCGGTACTTACATAAACATTGCCTCCCATTTATACAGCTGTCCGTTTCAATACAATCCACTGTATTTTAACACAGCGATCAACAAAGACTGTGCAACTGTATGGACAGAATAGCATTAAAAAGTAAAAATAAACATAGAAGGACAGGAGACTGCTAAAGGTGACCCTCTGCTACATTGCCTACTTCTCTATAAGATACAACACAATGGTCAGTCGCGGCACCGAAGCCAGACACTCGCCGTGACCTTTACAGATACCTTCCTCTGACTCGAACCTCCGCAAACGCATCCGCAGAGAAGAGCCGCCAGTCTCCCCTTCCCCTTCTGCGCCTGTACAGGTGGTGGGGGTGTCACTGCTTCCCAAATCTGAACGTCTGTCAGACTGTGGTTCACAGGCACCGTAACAGAAGCGGCTGAAATTGCTTAATGTGTCACGAGGAACTGTCACACATAGAGCCGGGGGTGCCTGAGACATCACGGTTATACACTTTATGACAACCTGTATATGTATGTCGTGTTTGTGTGTATATATATATATCTTTATATTATGTATTCGCATACTGTAATATATAGTTCTACAGGTGTCTATTGTTTAGGGGAGATTCTGCCTACATTCCAGAAAAGAGTAAAAAATTTCCTTTGGGAAAAATCAAACATACATGGAAACACAACTGGAAAAATATGTCACGTCAAAAGTCAAGAAGAGACTATCCTATGGGCAGAAAGCAGAGATGCAAAAAAAAAAACCCTGCATAAGCACCAAGGTAGCCTAGCAACCATAACATTGACAGGATATAATGATGAAAGTGGGGTGGTGGTATTATTTGACCAGTTTAAGACGTCTCTCATTTGTCCATTAAAAAGTTTGGCGGCCCAAACTGTGTCAGGGTTCGTGGCAGACAGGACTGTCGATTAGACCACACTCATCCTCACCACAAGTGAGGTTAAAAGCTCACGCAGACGACGAGTTTTTTTTAAAGGTCTCCCGCAATGACCTTGCTGCCAGTGTCCCGGAGAATTACAGTGGAGGAAACCACAGTAATCAGTCACCCTGTCTGGGGGAGTAAAACGTGTGCAGCCTGCGGCCACTGGTGCTGCCACAAGTCACTTATTAGTGCCAGACGAGCCATGTACGAACACAGCGGAACATATTCCCAGCCTTTCATTGCCCTCCAAGGCGCCGCTCGCTGAACAACAGGGAGACCCAGTGGCAGGATGGGGAACAACAGGTGGGGCTCAGACCAGGAGGCTGGCATGGATAATGAGAGGGAACGGGCAGACAGAGACAGGGGCGGAGCAGTAAGGCAAAAGCAATGCAGACAGGAAAGGGAAATCGTGCTTTTCCACGCGGGTGATCTGGTAGCGCTGTGAAGGGCACACACATGCGGACACGCACAAGTAGCTGTTTTGTGGCAGCCTCTCCAGTGAATACTCTTCCGCCTGTCACTCTCCCCTAGATGCTGCTCTTCGACAGTAGGCAAGGCAAGAGAGAGGAGCTTGTATGTGAGAAGGCTTCAAAACGTGGGGCTACAAATCAGGGGGTTTTGCCGAGTACAAACGGAAACTGAAATCCACTGAAAAGTACACTCAGAGCTGCTCTCACAATTATAATGATAATTATTATGCCTGTGGTTTATTATTAAGGTAGCTGAAGATCATCATCATCATCATCATCATTATTATTATTTGAAGGGTGTCACACACAGGAGCTGCCTCGCTCTGGTCTCAATTGGCCATATTGGCCACCCCCATCCCTCAAGTTCAGAGTCAGCAATTTCCCTGATTCTGGAACACCGGACTGAGCTGGGGTGAGGCGCTTCGTGTCTAAATACAGGAAAAGAATCAGAAGAAGACGGGCACTCTTTCCTGCCTGAGGCTCATGCTGCGGAGAGCCGCGGGTTATTCCGGAGGGGGGCCTCACCGCCAGAGGCCTGCCTGCCTGCCTCGCTCCCTTTAAACCACAAAAATAACCACGGAGCGGCTCTGTACTGCCAAGGAGACGTTCGCTCTGCGGCTCCTCCAGACCTCTCCTGCCACTCCAGCTCGGCTTTACCTGCTTCCGCGGTAATAAAATCTCACAGCCAGCGTTTGCTTCCCCATCCCGGTCCTCCATACACATCCACCCACTTATCCAGTACAGGCTCATGGGTGGCCTGGAATCTATCCCAGGATGCACCTGGCACAAGGCAGTAAGCACTCCAGATGGGTTTTATCCATATACATTGATGGCTATTTCTACCAAAGATAACCTTTTCTAAAGGTACATCAGGTCAGTGAGACAAATTGGTAAAGCGCCAGGTTACACGTAATGCCCACGTAATGCCCACATAATGCCCATGTAATGCCCGCCCATGCCCAGTCATGCTCCACTCACCCGCAATGCTGGCGAAGATCTCGCTGATGCCAATCAAGACGTACTGGGGGATCTGCCACCACACGGGCAGGTCTGAGGCATGGAAGGTCACCCCACTGATTATCTGGTCAATGGTGCCATGAAGGTTGATGTCCTCCAGTCTCTTGGTCTCCAGGATCCCTACAGGAAAAGCGTATGTGGTCAGAGCTCGTCCATGCGCACCCAGCCACCTACACGGCGGCAGTCGGTGCCAGGCGGCATTCACATGGCGCTTCCAGGGAGAAAAGTCAGCTAAACCAAGAGAGAAATGAGAGCTATGAGAAATACATGGGTATGGCAAAACCCGGGGCACGCTCCCCCGCCCCAGCCATCCCCCAAGAGAAAAGGCACCTACTGTACGGTTCATTCAGAAGGCACCTGTCCCATTAGCAATGCACCGATCTCCAGCCATGCAAACTTCTTGAACAGGGAGAGGCAGACCTGCATTTAGCTACTTTCAGGAGTTTATTTTTTTAAAACAGGAAATACCAGTGAGCAGGGCTCACTGATCAAAATGTGTATTGCACATTTTGATTTGACCTTGCTGCCAGTGTCCCGTCCCGTCCCCCCCACCCCACCCGGGCTGTTTGTCCCCTTATTGACACCATACTGCTTTAAGCCTGACTGTACTTATTCATGTACCTTTAAAAGAGCACTGGAGCTGAAGGCAGATGGAGTGAGTCCCGACAACATTCTGGCACACATTAGCAGACAGCAAAGGGGGAAAGTCCAAACTGGGACGCGACCTAGTCCATTTGATTTCACAGGAAGGCACATGACCCCACACAGACTGACCCAGACTTTCACAGGAAGGCACATGACCCCACACAGACTGACCCAGACTAACCAGCTATCTATATAAAAATAATCACATACTGGCAGCCGCTTACTAGCACCGAACTATAAAAGGCTGCAGCTGCAATCCCCTGGAGGTATTCAGCTGCTGTACCCTTGAGCCAGGAACCTTAACAACTGTGTTTTTAAAAAATGCCCAGCTGTGAAATTAATCATAGTATGACTTTGAACGGTCACCAAAGACAAGGTTGGAGTGAGGGGGGGTGGGACCGTCAGTAGGGTGGCGGCATGAGCGCCCCGTCCCCGCTGCTGCTGGGGTGTCCCGATTGCACCTGCGAGAGAGGAGCACCTCCCTGACCCACAGCAGCAAAGCTCAGCTGTAAAACATTTTCTCTTCACCACTGTGATTTTCTACTGCTTTCTGCAATATTCCACTTTCACTCCTTTATAAGCCCGTTACCTTTTAATAAATAAACATTGAAAATAGAATATGGCTTCTCTGTCATTTCTGTTCTTGGGAACAAACTCATATTAATATTGTAGCCAGCAGAGAAAGTGCTAACTGGGATTTTTTCCCAGGAAAAATAAAAACCTATAAGGACGACAACAAGAAGCATAATAAGTGTAATGATGATGAACGACCTTCCCTGAGGGATGGCTTCCTGTGCGAATCAGCGGCCGTGGCATGGCTGAAGCCCTGAAAGACCACGGCAATTCTCATCTGATGTTTAAATATGATCGATAACGTTACTGCAGCAAAGCGGCCAGCCTCACCAACCAGGAGGTCCTCAGATGCCAACAGCCCAAAGGTCAGCTCACAAGGTCCAATGACCCTAGAAACATGCCATAACACAGCAGACCATTTACACTTTCACTGCATTCATTTAGCTTCTTCATTCATACTAATGAAGGATGGGAGCCTGGTGGAATCATTAACCTGGATTCTGTTATACTGACCACCCATTCATAGCTCATTTACACCTAAGCCAACAGTACAGATAAATCCCTAATCAGCAAAGATCCAGCAGAATATACACACATATACAAAGCATTTTACATCTCCGTATGCAGTCATGTCTGCTTGTGTATGTGATAATGCTTCTTCTAGGTGGTTCTGCTTTTACTGGTATTTCACAACAGATAAACTTTTAATCATGCATTGTTAGCGCAATCCACCAATTCATTCATCTTCTACCTGGAACCAATCCCAGGTGGGACAGGGTAGGAGGGAGGGGACACCCAGTACTGGAAGAAAGCAGAACACAAAACAAAGCAACCTCCAGAAAAAGGGGGTCTGCTGCACGGCGAACTACAGGGAAGCAGATCTGGGTCCCTGATCACTGCATGAGATTCACAGCTGTGGAGCCACGCAGCCCTACCAGGCGCAGGAAGTGCGGATTTCAAACTACAACCCCTTTTTCTCACTTCTTCTTGAAGTGAAGTCTGGGATTCCCCAACAGCTAGGGGGGGGGGGGCATAGACCTGCTCAGTGACGACCACACATGCTGTGCCACGCTCCGGTTGCACAGATGGAGGCGGTGACTCAAGAACGGCCTCACAGCCAAACAGCATGAGCACACTGAGATTTCCGCACTGTCGACCTTCCCCTTTCGCTTCTCAAATCGCTCCTATATCAGTCCAGGCAGTGAGGGGTCACTCTATGCTCCCTGACGTTTTAAAACCCTTGGCATTTATCCAAATTACACTCAAACGACTTGAGGAGAAAAACACAAGCCACTACCAAAATGGACAGAGTTCCTCTCACAGATCCCCACGGATTGTCAGAATACAAAACAAACACGCTTGTTTTGGAGGTTTTGTGCCAGATGTCACTTATAAGCTGGACCTTTTCTGATGTACAGAATATTAATGTCTTTGTGGAGAGTGCTGAAGCTCAGTGTAAAGGGAGAAGGTCTGTTCAGCTCTACCAAGGACCACAGGGCTGACTGCCAGCACTCAGTTTTGGAACAAACTCAAAGTTCTCCACCCCTCCATCGCTGCTTTTCTAGCACAGCCAAGGTCTTACACCCACCTGACAATTCTTCTTTGCAACAAGTTGTCGACTTCTTCTTAAATATTTGCTAATATTTCTTGGCAGCTCGAATACCCCCTTCTGACATACAACACAGCATGACTGCTACGACACCAGTCCAAAGCGGAAATGGTTTCGATTCAAACTCGGCACCTAAAAGAGCTCTAAAAATAATATCAGTTTTGGCAACTGCTGCACTCAACACTGATGCGCTGCTCACTGCGGCTACACCAGCATGGACGAGGCCCGGCGGGAGTCAGCCCTGCTCCGCACAGACGGCGGGCCTACCAGCTGCCACGGCGGACCACATGACGAAGAACATTCCCACGGCGATCCTCTTGAGCGGGGAGGGCAGCAGGCCCCGACGGCGCAGCACGGGGTCCACCACCTTGTCCTTCAGTGGGATCAGCAGGAGGATGAGCACGGCGTCGAACATGGTGAGCCAGGCCGCCGGGAAGCGGAAGGACACCTGTGAGACGGACGGGAGGACAGACGGGCAGATTACCAAGCTGGTCATACGGCAAGAGGGTGCCACGGTGAGTGGGGTGCAGAGAGGGCAGGGAGAGGCCTGGCACACGAGATTCAGACAGAAGACGAGTGGGTGGCCTCACTGAACTAAGCACCATGCTAGCGCAACCTCTGGTCAAAGCCTGATCCATCCAGGGAGTGGAAAAAGCCAACTGTGATATACAAACAAACACTAAACAATAGGGAAACAAGCAGGATTCCAGCTCTTATTCTGAAAGTCACTCATCAACTAAATGAATATTTAATTAAAAGCAATGGAGAAAGGTAATTCACTAATGAACAAAAACTTGTTGATAATTTATGGAATGACATGAGAACCAAAATGAACTAAATTTCAACTTAAAGGATGCCAAATTACTTCCATGATTCTTTTTGAAATGCAGTGATGTTTAAAATTAAGGCTTTCCATTTCAGCACCAGAAAAACAAAATGTCAATTTCAGGCTGTAAATCTCTTTAACTTAGTTTAAAATGCCAAGTGTGAGTTCACAATCTTGAGCCGAGAGAATTAAACTTTTCAATGCACGGTCAATTTTATAATTCAAGAGCTGAAAATATCCAGGTCCCCACTTGATGAGCTGCTTAATGGGCTGAACGAGCAGAGAGACACAAAGCACAGCACAGACCCCACAGCCTAGTGCAGGTAGCTGAAGGCTGACTAGGCAGCCTTTTCAAGCCATAATCACAGCTGGTGAGGAGACGGGGGTCAGGGAAATTAAAGTGCACCCCACTTACAGCACTAATGACGTGAGAACCAAAAATAGAAGGATGATGACGTGATTTATTGCCATCCTCCAACAGAGCAAACCGGACATAGTGCTCTGAAGGGAGGCCAGGTTACACTGCCTGAGAGGCACAGTCAGCCGGGGTGACATCACGAGTTAGGTCACAATGCCAAAGGCGGTACTGAAGAAATCGTGAGTGAAACCATGAGTGTGAGGAGGGAGTGGGACAGCATTTAGTGTGTGTTACTACCACAGCACAGGAAACAGACCCAGTCCAGGTTACCATGCAGTTCCCCTCAAAGAGACTTTATATGTGTGAGGCTCAGTGGGTTAATGCGCTGTGCCTGTGATCGAAAGGTCGCTGGTTTGAATCCCAGGATCAGCATAGGGATTTCACTACTGGGCCTTTGATTAAGGCCATAAACCTTGAATTGCTCCAGGGACTGTCTGACCCTGCCTTCAGAAAAACTGTATTTTGCTCTGGATAAAAGCATCTACTAAATAAACAAAATCAAATTTACAAGCGAAAGCAAACTATGACACAAACCAATCTTAATTTGAAACCCACTCTAAGAAACACACTTCTGCTACACTTGGCATCATTCTAACTGTGTATGATTGAACACTGCCCTTTCACGGCATAAGATCACCGAGCATTGACTGACTTCACCTTTTTACAGTTTCTGCTTAAAGTATTTTGGCTAGAACTGAAATGTGGCTTTACGGATTACAGCGTAGACCTTTACCAAAATGCGAAATAACTATTCTGGGTTCTGCTTTGTCCTTCAGCTGAGTGAATGATAAAAACTACAAAGCCACTTGGCAAAAAAAAAGCAGCACTGTCCAGCATTACAGCAGACAAAGCGATTAAAACAAATAGATAAAAGGGGTTTGTGCAAGTTTTTCGCACACTGAAGATCACTATGCTGCAGCAGATAATGCTGAGTGCCTGCCTTTGCGGTGGCACCCAAGTGGTCTTCACGGACTGAGAGAAATAAAATCCTTAACGGCAGAAATCAGGCGAGCAAATTACACATTTGAGGAAGTGATGCGGAAGAAGATACGGGGGCCGGCGTAACACAGCTATGGCTGCGGCGGATACGTTGAAGACGCTGGACCTATGTCAGCACGGGCATCATTTTGAACGGGGATACATGAGGCAAATTTCTTTTTTTTTTTTTTTATTGAGCACAGAATGTTACCTAGACAAAGAGAAGTAACAGAGTTCTTGAGAAAAGTGGCGGGCAAAAGTGAGAATGTTTCAGTTCACTTTCAAAACGGGTCACTTCCTTTACAAACTGCACACGCATAAGCATTTACGTACGCGCACTAATGGTGTGCATTTCCATCACTGAGGCCAATGCGATACACATCTCGATGCACTGCCAACGACCCAATACATTAGAAATACAGATGAAGAAACTATTAAATGAAATGAACTATATATAAAAAAGTATTGGGACATAACTCCTAATCATTGAATTCAGGTATTTCATTCAGACCCATTGGCACAGATGTATAAAATCAAGCTCCTAGCCATGGAGTCAGGTTTATAAACATTTGTGAAAGAATTAGACATTCTGAAAAGCTCAGTGAATTTAAGCGGGGTTTGTGAAATTTCTTCCCTCCTGGATATTCCACAGTCAACTGTAAGTGGTATTATTGAAAAGTGGAAGTGTTTAGGAATAACAGAAACTCAGCTACGAAGTGGCAGACCACATAAAATAACAAAGCGGGATTGCAGAGTGCTGAGGTACACAGTGCGTAAAAGTCGCCAACGCTCTGACGACTCAGTAACTGCAGAGTTCCAAACTTCCTCTGGCATGAACCCCAGCATAAAAACTGTGCGCCGGGAGCTTCATGGAATGGGCTTCCATGGCCGAGCAGCTGCATGCAAGCCTCACATCACCAAGCGCAACGCCAAATGTTGGATGGAGTGGTGTAAAGCACGCCACCACTGGACTCTGGAGCAGTGGAAACGTGTTCTGTGGAGTGACGAATCACGGTTCTCTGTCTGGTAGTCTCATGGCTAAGTCTGAGTTTGCCAGGAGAACGTTACCTGCCTGCCTGCTTTGCACCAACTGTGAAGTATGATGGAGGAGGGATAATGGTATGGGGTTGTTTATCAGGGGTTGGGCTAGGACCCTTAGTTCCAAAGAAGGGAACTCTTAATGCTTCAGCATACCAAGACATTTTGGACAATTCTATGCTTCTGAGAACAGTTTAGGGAAGGCTGTTTTCTGTTCCAGCATGAAAGGTCCATAAAGACATGGTTGGGTGAATTTTGTGTGGAAGAACTTTACCGGCCCACACAGAGCTCTGACATCAAACCCACAGAAGACCTTTAGGATGGACAAGAATGGAAATTGTGAGCTTTAGAATGACATGTCATAGAAGTTCCTTTAGGTGGAATAGCCAGGTATAATACCCAGTACTTCTGTCCATATAGTGTATGATTCAGCACATTTGACTCAGTTTGATTCAATGCGATATTATGCAAACACCTCCAACTCACGCAAGATTTGGCAGAGAGACTTGATGAGAACTGGCAACAGCAGTGGAGAACCAGAGATGACAGAAAAAGTAATTTAGATTATCTGTCTAAATACAATACTATTGGTCAAAAATGACTGGTCACATTTCTAAGTAATAAAGGCACAGGGCCTCTACTAATAAGTTTTAAATCAGATTTCAATGATGCAAAGATGTCATAAATAATGTATTTCGTGATCATCCCAAATAATATCTGGTGCACACTTGTTTTTAAATCAGTGAAATCGCATAGTGAACTTTTATTCACACCGATGTGAATCTGTGAATCTTACGAACCCTAACCCACACGGGATCAGGACAATCAGCAGCAGGTTTCTGACCTGTGATTATTGGCACAATCTGCAAAGCAGGATAAAGCTTTAATCCCTCAGGTTAACGCCCCTCCTTCCAGCTGTCGCGTCGGCTGGAGTCGCCATGGCAAAAAACGAAAGCTTGTAAAGCACAATCAAGGGAAGAGGGTAGCGTGCGAGCAGCCAGCAGAGTCACAGAAGCCCGGGCTTGTCACTGCCCTGGTTTAGATCAGAAAAGCTGCTCGTCTCCTACCTGGTTTGGGGTACTGCTGTTCGATGAGATATTCCAGGAAAACTCTGGGATCCTCAAGTGCAGGCTTTGCAGGATATATGTTGTCTGCATCTGTAGATGCAAGGATGGGATAAAAAATTAAAGGGCCACCACATCAGTCCTTTAAACAGACTCCACAAAACCTTTTCACTTTTTCCCCCCAACTATGACTCATATGCTTTTAAGCCATCAGCCGGACACATGCAGCTCTCCCAGGCAGGCAGTCATTTTGGCTTTGTAAGCTTTCTCCTTGCGAGTGCACACTGCACACGCCTAATGGAAACTCACCTGGAAGTACACAGTCCAGTAGGGGATGAGTGCCAAGAAGACGGGGATGATTTTTACCAGGGCCTTAAACTCCTCCACCTTCTCCTCCGAGAATGCCCCCCCGTAGGTCACTTTAGCGGTGTCCAGCAGCCGTGGTCTAGGACTTCATGTGGATGAAAGTAGCAAATCAATGTCATTTCCTCCACCCAGCCACTATGATTGAGCTGCGGCCCCCTGCTGCAGTTGTAATTGGGGGTAATAAAAGTCTGTGTGCCTCTGCTAAAAAATACAGCCATTTTAAATCGTGCACCGAGATAAAATGATCGATTTAATCTATGTGTTTCAGAATGCCCTGGCTTTAAAATATGCACCCTCGGCCCCAGCAGAAAAACTCTGTGTCAAAGGCTCCTCTCTGGAGGAAAAGCCTATTCAATCGGTTCCAGGATTGGACAAGTTAAAGTATTCAAAGTCAGGTTTTCAAAAGGGTTCAGTTACTCAGGTCCAGAGTCAAACAATGACACTCAAAAATAACTTACTTTGTGAGTTGGGGGAGGGAACCGAATACAGAACACAGCAAAGGGGTCAAGGTGGGAGCTAAACTTGTGGAACATTCAAAGGCTACTGGCAATGCCCAGCTAACTAGTGAAAACTTGTCCTACTTAATCTCTGTTCAGTTTCAGGGGCATAAGATCATAGAGTCATAGAAGAGATGTGGCAAAAGCCACACTTTCAGGCCACTGCTGCTACGTGTCTGACAGTCTACAGCTCATGGCCCAGCTAGTTACGGGCTCTGATATAATGTATAATGATATTTTTTTTTAAAACTGTGCTACACAGAGTTAAGTTTAAATCGATGGACAGTAAAATTATTCTAACAGCATCTTTAACGGTGGCCCAGGGTAACTGATGCGGCAAGCCTGGGGCTGATAGATCTTACGCACCGGAGTAGATGTGGCTCCTTGGGCCTACGGGATGAGCAGCAAACGAAACTGAGGATCTTGAACATGTCGGTGAAGGCACTGCCATCAGCCGGCTTGGTGATGAAGACGGTGCGCCCCAGGAGGAAGACCAGGAGGGACACGCCCAAGCATACAGCTGGGATGATATAACCCAACTTGAAACTAATGTTTTGCTGGATGTAGGCCACACCACCCAGAGATAAGATGGCTCCCAGGTTGATGCACCAGTAGAACCAATTGAAGAACCGCCGCGTTGCCTCCGGTCCTCTGTCTTTTACCTGCCAGTCAACAAAAATTACCACCACCATCATCATCATCATCATCATCTAGGATATGATTACTAATGCCACAGGCCATAAAATTGTTATTTGAACAAACTCAGTACATTACCGGTGTTCAACCATTTTTAGATTCAAGTTACTGTTTACAAGGAGTCAATGAGGTGGGTGGGGGTAGGGTGGGGGGGTGGGGCTTGGTAAATTTTTGAGGGACGGGGTGGGGATGTCCCTGCAACAGAAGATGTTGCAATTAACTGGGAATGATAGTTGAATCAGTCAATTAAACATGGTTCAAATGCCAACAATGTACTTCTGGAGAAAAAAAAGGCACAAGGGAATCGAATGTTTACAGTTACCATCAATAATGACAAATAATGCATTGCAAAAATATGCATAGATGAAGAATTTTCACAAAGAACTCATCTCATCATATTATACTGCAAAGTAAAAGACTGTTTTAAAACAGTACCACGAGATGGACAAAGACATGCAAAAAAATTCCGACCCAGCAGTAAACATTAATCAAACAGTAATCAAAAAAGGCTGATTTTGAGTTAACCGATTCTCAGTAAAAGAATTTGTCAGGCAAGGCCCTTATTGTCCTTTCCTACACTGTTTGTAACAATACCTCAATTTTGGAAAAACACAACTTCAGGCAAAATCTGAATTCTGATAATTTCATAGTTTGCAAATATATAACAATTTAAAGCAAATGCTGTAAATTAGGACACAGCTTAACTTGTGCATAGGTTTTGAATGCTTCCCTAGTGTTGCATGGACTCCCTCCCACAGACATAAAATCCTGTCTTAGATAAGTTGTTGGAAGATGGATGGGTAATTCTGACATCTTGTGGGGTTAAATAACAAACGAGTCATCATCTCTCCTAATGCTTTCTGACTCATCAAAAAACAGAGGGCTTTCAAAATATTCCCTAATTAACTAAGCCTGGCATATTTGTGATTTAGTTTAACATGAGCCTTCTGAAAATATGTTAGCTGCAACAAATGTGAACCAAAGTTCTCCGAGTGTGAAATATGGAGATCAACACTGACTTGTTCTTCATTTAAAAGTGTGAGATTGAGGTTTTGAATCATGCCCACCGAAATGACAGCCGCATGCAGCGAGTTCTGCAGTGGAGGCAGATGTCCGTTTACTGACAGCTTTCATGAATTCACAGACTGGGTTATCATCCAGTCCCCAAGACCCATACAGAACAAGGCATGACTAGGATGTCGACCATTATTGTGTTTCTCAGAACTGTTAAATCAATAGATTCCTGCAAGCCTTTAGATTGAAGAAATTTATAAATTTACGCCACATCTACAGCCATTCAGAATTAAATTTCATTTCCAGAGATAGTATCAACTGCCTTGTGAAGCAGAACAGAAGACGACAGATGCCCCATCCTGGCAATGTCGGGTTACTGAAAGTACAGTTTGACTCTGTTCAAACAGCCAGTGACCCTGGTACAGCAATATAAGGCCAAACAAATCCAGTTAGGGAAATGGATACTATATTTAAAAATACTTAAGTACAAAAGCCCACACGCACAGGCCCAAAAAAACAGCCATCAGGCCAAGATTTCCTTAAACTGGCATATTAGTATATTAAAGCCACAGTCTCTTCAATCTGCTGTATGTCATACACAAGGTTTGGTGTGAGTCCTCGTGGGGCTTCTTCACTACATCGATAAATAATAAAAAAAAAACTCACAGCCTTAATCATACTAAAAGCCTGGACTCCTCCAGAAAGTGTCAGTAGTGAAAGCCTGCAGTTATACAATCTGAGACACAGTAGTTTTGCATCCAGTGCTCTTTTATTGTTGTTGTTATTTTGGTGTTTAGATGCTGCTTTTGACCAAGAGACTTAACACAGACTCAACATAGTGCAATATTTTAATGTAAAAGTATTTCTCAAAGGTACAAGAACAGCACATATTCCAGGGCCTGAAATCTTCAAGTCTGCATCCTTAATCATCAACCCTGAACCATTATAGGTAGTGTCAGCCCCGCCCACCCACTCCCCGGGTCCTACCTGATCAGCCCCAAATGGAGTGATGTTCGATTTCACCGTCCCAACGCCCAAGGCGATGAGGACCAGGCCACTGTATACCACGGTCCCACAGTAAGGAGCGCGAGTGGGACAGGACACATTGCTGGGTAGCGTGCCGTTGAAACTCAGGCACTCCGGGGGCTGCACGGGGAAGGCCATTTCTTCCCCACACAGGGCAGTCTGGGATCCTTCATCCGCCACAAAGGGGAAGAAGAGAATGCCAGCCAGGTACAGAACCAGGCTGACCGCAATGGTCCAAAACTTGCTGAGGCAGGCATCCGCCAACCAGCCCCCAAACGGGGAGATTAGGTAGGTGACCCCCATGAAGACTAGGGGCGCCTGGCTCGCCTGCGTCCCCTCCCAGTAGAAGGGCTTGCTGTTTAGGAAGAGCACCAAGTTCGAGGTGATGCTGTAGAAGGCCACTCGCTCCAGGGACTCAGCCAGCAGGATGGCAGCACAGGCCAGCCTCCTGCCTTGGAAGATGGACCCCGGAGCTCTGCTGGCAGTCCCTGACCCCTCCAAGAGGGGAGTCGTCTCGCCCACCTCCCTGCTCGCCATGAGGAACCAGGCTTATGCAACCACCCTGAGGAGAATATTAAACCCTACAAAATAGAGAAGGATTAGCGATGGTATTTTGTGGAAATGAAGGGGAAAAAAACACAAAACTAAGTCAGTCGTTTAGTTTCAACAACTTTTTCCACCCAGCGGAAAACTTGTGATAGTCAACAAAGCTCAAAACATTTCGATAACGGAGCGACACCACACATACACCTTTAATTACGTATGTGCCTTGCTTTTAAGTGATATTATATGGTAATAGTATACAGACCCATTTTCAAGAGGCATATGATGTCTGACAGATATAAACGGTTACTCATAACGCTCCATGAATGTTTAATGTAACAACTGAACATCTAGTTTAATATAAACACACATGTCCGCAAAAGTAACGCATGCTGACAACGTATATATATTTAAACTAAAACGTTGATATTAGCTTGTTAGCTACCGAAAGCATAGACAGCCTAATCTACTAAACACCGAAGGTTGGTTACCTTTTATTCAGCGTCTCCTCCACAGCTATTCACCGTCGTTTCCCGACCATTCCTGTGGGTACGCGAATTATTATCAGCTTATACTTCAGAAGTCAAAGCAAAGTTTCCTCACTTCCACATAACACGCTCCTGAAATAAAAACTTACAGTTAGTCACAGTACTGCCGCGTGACTTCGATAACAACCCCATTCCTCCTGGCATCCGATTGGACAGAGGCGCCTACATCGACGGTTTCAATTGGGCAAATCACAAGTCAATCAGCCATTGCGAATACTTCCTGGATAGAACAACAACATTGACAATCACAAAAGGAATGGCATAAATTGTGTATATAGCTAACAATCTGAACCGACAAGCTTTGCATTTTGCATGGTTTTGGATTAAGCATTATCTATAAATTTTAACACGTTAGGTAGATGCGTTTTTGCCATATTACTAGACAAATGCCTGCAGCTGTACAACAATAACTCCACAGAATCGGCTTAATAGTGGCGGTACCCAGTAATGTGCTGTGGTACTGCTACATTCAGATTCAGCCGCTGTTGTTTCTAAGTAATATGTGCACTAGTCGCATTAGCAGACACGGTATTTGATGGAAATGCTACATGCTCCGTCCATGTTTCCTGGGGAGGACTTTTAACGTCGCAAAGCAAACATCATGAGGGCGAAAGTTACCGGTGGTTGCTCACCACCGCAGTAATTCACATACCTTTAAACAGCTTGAAGGCATATATTAGTTGCTTTTAATTCTTTCTCTATGTATCGATATGAAACTGCTTTTTCTGGCCTGCCTTAGTCCACAAACGGGAAACTGTACTACTGCGGAAAGGATCAGGTACGAACAGTAATCGTTTCTTATACATTACATTGTCGTTGAGTAGTTGGACTAATAAAATCCTATCCTGTTTCGTTATCTTAAAGCTTAACTCCCCCGCACCACTCCCACTAAGATATATCCCATAAATCGATATGAAATATTGTACTTCGGTTTGTATTACACGAGGCAAATTTTGCAGGATGTTTGTGCTTTCAACAGTAATTAAAGTCAGGTTCGGCTACAGCTTTCGGTCCTGACTGATGGCCGGAATACTACTGACAGATTAAGTTATTCAGATCCGTGGAGTATGAAAGCAAACAGCCAGATCAAAAGAAAATGAGCACCACTTAAAGGAAATGCGAAGCATCAGTTGTGTCTGTCGATTTACGGGGGTAGGGCATTGGTAGAGCGTCTGTGACACTTACTGTGAACTATGTGCATTTTCATTTAAATCTCTTCTTAACTCATATCTGCATTTCAGAGGACACATAGAGTCGGCAGGGCACACCTGTGTTCTCCGAGATGTCGCAGATTTCAAGTCCCCGGGCGATGTGGAGGCGCTGATGAAACGGGAGCCACCTTGCGAGGGCGTGCTGGCCATTCACCTGTATAAAGGAGGCCAGTTTCTCTTAGGTGAAATCTCACCCCGTCCCCTTCACTTTTCAACCGTTTGATCTTTACGCTATCAGATGCATTCCAAAACAGGAGCGCAGACACGCCTGCAACTTCTTATGCTTAATCCCCTTATTTTAGTGTGGTGTGTTTTAATTTTTTATGATCGTAAAAAACTTGGGGCGTATGTAAAGTTTGAACCAGTGTAAGTAATTTGCATGCCAATTTATGATGTTCTAGCAATATTTTGTTTTCATTTTCATAAAGACTTTTATTTGTATGGATATCATAAATATAAGTCATTAGCAACAACTCAGCAGACTCTGCTAATGAAAGAAACTTGCACAATATTAAGTTCAGTGTTCAACAAAGGGATAAAAACCTCTTAGCAGTAAGCAGTACCTCATCCATATTCCATATTTACACCATTCTCATATAAAATGTTGGCTTGTTATAAGTCAGAAACTCTCATAAGCAGTTGAATTAATGCAGAAAAACTAACAGCATCATAATAATAAGATGCTAAAATATCCATGACCATGACGCTTTCAGAATAAACAACGAGTACGATATATCAAGATCTAGACAATGCAAATATAACTTCTTCCGATGTCACTGGCCAGGTTTGTGTGTGTGTGTGTGTGTATACACGGGGGGTGTTAAACTATGCTGTGCAGAATAGGAAAGGCAAGCATCCTTTGGCAAAGGAGATTATGTCAGTTCGATGCCTCCTATTCCAGAAAGTACATCGGGACATTGTGAGTAGATTGGGTGATGTTTCCATCTGGTCCCCTGTATAACATTTCACTGATTGGGACAGTGTGTCTCTCTGTGGGTTAGGAGTCTGTGCCCATGATCGGAAGGTTGCTGGTTCAAATCCCATGGCCGGCAGAGTGATTGGGCCCTTTGAACCAATCCCATAGCCTACATTGCTCCGGAGACCTGCTGACCGTGATTTTGCAATTGTGTGTCACTTCGGATAAAAACTTCTGCTAGATAATGATCATTCCGTCAGGAAGAAAAATATATGTGATTCACGCTATTCAACTACTGATGGCAGTGCTGCAGCTTTCTTACTGGCAACTAGAGGGCAGTTACATGAACTCACCGCCTGTTCCTGTCGCACCAGGATGCCAGGCGCCCTTCGGGGTCATTTTCGGTGGGACGGACCTCAACGAGGACGTAAAGGACAACAAGAAGCTAGCTGTTATGGAGCAGGTTCTGAAAAAAGCCAGGTGATGACACCAGCCGTCCCATCAAACTGGAGATAAGCGGCTATGTTTTATTCAGAGCCGGGTATGCAATGCTTGTTATGACTCCATATACCCACAACCATTTATTTAAAAGGATGATATTGAAGAATAATTCAAGCATAAACACATCACATGTAAATACATGGAACATCCTGTTACGATTCTCCACATCATTTTATTGGGACATTGTATTGGATAGGAGATAAATGGGTGGGTGGTATTGTTTTTTTTTATTAATTGATGATAGGACTTCCTTACATATGGCTGTTTTTCTTATCAAAACAAAGCACAGATTCCTCTAAATTTCTAGATGTGTTACTCACTGGGATCCTTTTTGTCAGTGGTACGATCCCCTCAAACACTAATGCCTGGTGTTGACATTAATAAAAAGCAGAGCTTGCATAGCTGCTGTAAGCTGGGTGAAGGAGTGTCCTTGAGGCACAGGGTATTGCTGGGAAGATGAAAACGGCGGATTAGAGGGAACCTCCGCGGACGGGGCTCGCAGGGGCCAGATTACACAGCGTGAAATGGCATGAGGTGGTGATACTGTCAATGCCACCGCCGTCCGTGACTCTGTCCCGGCGAAGCCCTGCCCTCCTGCAGCCAGTCTGGCATTGGAGCCTTTCTCCAGAGAGGCCTGCACTGGGCTCCCCACCCCGTTTCCTAGCCCAGCAGTGTGTTAGCATTAGCACTGTTTTTAGCCTGTCGTGTTTCGCCTACCCGTAGGCGGCTGTCTGATGTGCATATGGGCAAAGCCTTGTCTTCAAGTGTAACTGGGAGGAGGTCTTAGGATACGGTGTCTTAACATCAAATGGCTGTCATCTCCCCCCAACTCCACCCCGCCTCCCCTCCCATATCTTCAGCACATACCTGAAATCTGTCCTAAAATGTGCATCTTGTCCACCCTGACTGTAGGCTGGGGGGTGGGGGTGGTCACTTTTTCATTCAGGACTCCAACTTGCCTCAAAAACTCTGAGAAATCTGTCACCAAAGTCCCCCCACTACAAACACATCCAAATATCAGACAACAGTGAGGACCCAGTCAAACCGCCTTTCATCTGTCTTTTGATTTTCTGCACCGATTCCCATCTTGTTGCCATAGTTGTTTGGGTGAGAAAGCAGGGCACCAAACTCAGATGCTGTCTGTGTCTCAGAATCACAGCTTTGCTGAATGGTGGGTGGGGGTGGGGGGGTCACCCAGCTGCTGTGCCCCATTTTCAGACCTTTTTTCCTCTTTTAAATGCAGGTTTGCTGTTGCATTCTCTCACAAGCTAAAAGAAGTGGCTGAATTGCTTTGGGTAGGACCTGTTTGTCTTTTTTTGTGACATTTCTATGATAACACTAATGCTGAGCACAGTAAACATTTCGATTGTTAGCTCTAGGCAAACATTCTTAGTTTTATTCACAACAGAACGATCGATTAAAATATCACAGTAGGTCTTGGTAGCCTCCTCTTCATTTTAGTCTTGCAGTCCGCCAACAAATGTGCCAGTTAATAAGTTCATTCAGAGTGGAACTGAAATTGTGGACATGTGAATCTGACCTAGAGGAAATAAAAATCCCAGCCTTACGTGTAGATTTTGCACTAAGCTCTGATCTAAAAATCAATCGGTTATTCCAGCAATTTAAGAAAATTGCAGTTGGATTTGTTGAAGCATCCCCTGACAAACTGGAAAACGAGCTGGGAAAGTGCTTTAAGGAGAGCGGGAAGTCCTTCAGACGGAAATATGATTGCAATCCGAGTGGCGGCTCAGTCATGCGAGGCCATGAAGACCCGGCGGCGGCATGTAAAGACAGCAGGCTGCTGCGGCGGCCGTAAACAGCGTGGACTGGCGGCGCATCGGAAATCGCTACATCCCGCTAAGTCCCATAACGGCGAGGCATTAAAATGTTGTCGATCACATTTCTGCGCTTCCCGTCCATCTCCGCTGTCACCATGCCGTCACTTTCATTTGATCATACGATCTTTCACATTCCGTCAGTCAGATTTTACTTATTAAAGCGCATGTGTAAGAGCAAGTTGCAGTGTCATTTCCTCTGAGAAGTTTCTGGAAAAATAAAGTCCACTTTGCAAGAAAAACGGATCGTTATTCAATAACCTCCCCAAAGATAGCAGTGCAGTAGTGAATCTATAAAATACGACCAACTTAAATTGATTTAAACAATTATTTTGTGGGTAATCGTTTAATAGTATCAATAAAACAACAGCCGCTTAGCTCGCCCAATATACTTTTATTGTGGGGGAGTAAAGCATATCGTAAATCTCTGAGACTATTTTCACAAATTTAAGTGTGTGTGGCACTCGGCATTCAAGACAGTGATTTTGTAAATATATTTTCTAATAGAGTATAAATACGTCAGCTGATATAACATGGACAAGTGGAAAGGGGTCTTTCCAAGGGTTTACTATTTCAGCCCTAGACGAAGAATTGATAGACGAATCTCAGACTTTAAGGATTGTACAGTTGAATTTTAAAAAGCTACGCATTTTTCGTAAAAGTGCAGAGAAGGAAAAGCCTCTGCCCCTTGCAGTGTGCACCATGGGAATGTTAACCACTGTTTTGCAACGTCTTGTATCTTTCAAGCCGACCCAGAGCAGTAGAGTCCATGTCCACCCACAAGGTAACCACATCAACTGGCTGTTTCTGCTGCTTGCCTCTGGCTGGGAATGACCGAGTCTCTGCATGGGGGTCTTTCTGCTGTGGTATTTGGGGGGGGGGGGGGGGATGCAGGGTCTGAAATGTGTTTGTAGTTTGCTGTATTGATGTGATTCACTGTACTTGCTGGCTGGGAGACTGTAGCATTGCAGGAAAGTGGTTTTTAAAGGCAGTGGGCGAGCATGTGGCCAAAGGTGCACATGTAACAAGTATGTAAATATTGTAATAATGATGTAATGTGTCGCATCACACCCATGTAAAGCACCTTGGGGTGACTCTTGTGAAAAGCGCTATTTAGAATTGAATTGAATGACACAGAATGTAAATAATGCCACTTGTCTTGCTGACATTGTCTTGTCAGGTGCTGCCCCCTCCAGTCTGACCTGTTCACCTCTGTGCTGCTGCTGCCCGCTGCTTTAGACCTCTGCTTGCTCACATCTACACTGGTCTTAGGAAGACCTGAAGCTGCTTGCCTTTGTACTTGGGCCTTGGGTGTCACATGACTGTATGAAGGACAACAGTCCTTGACCAGGGAGTGCTGTGTGAGCCTTACCATGTGCCATCCGTTGCCCTTTGAGGTGAAACCATTGCAACATGGAGATGCTGATGAATCGGCATAGTGGGTGTTTCTCAATACCAAGAACACAAAGATTGTACTTATGGTCTTAGCATGACCGGTCTTACTAATTTCCCTCCTAAGAACAAACTTGGGGCATAATGAATCATGGGATTGGTCTCTTTTGCAACCGTATCCTTGATATTTGGGGCGGGGCAAGAATGACATCTGAGGATTTTTACCGTCCTTCGTACTTCTGTTCTTAGTATTGGAACTGCTCTTTGACAATGGAAAATGACGTAAAGCAAGTACACGAGAACACAAGTACAGGCAAGTACGCATATTGAGAAGCACCCAGAGACAGGAAGCAGGTTAAGGCACTTCATGGGCATGGAGCAGTAAGCTCTTTAAAATGGGGTCTCAGACCCAGTGCACGCAGGGGCCTTGGGCATGCGGGGGTGCTGGTTTAGCTGCGCCTCTTTAGTGCAGCTAATTGGATACATCATTGATGGGCATGACACCTCCCACAAAGATGGCAGCCCTTTGCACACTAATCCTAGCACTGTAAGCTGGGCTGTGTTCTGGGAGATGTGCGACTGCATGATCCAGTTGCTCCCCATGGGGTAGATCTGATACTGGCCTGGGGCAATAGGGCCCATTTGCTTCTCCTCAAGGTCGGGGTCACAGATGATAGACAGGATGACCTTCTGGCGAGATCTAGAAATGTCAGGACATGGTAATTGCATGAACCTGCCCCATTCTGGTGGTGTGTCTATTCCACCAGCTGACGTGAGGGTGCCCCGGCGGTGGCGTGCGACCCCAGCTGCATGATGGGACTCATGGCATGTGGCCGAGGACACCACCTGCTAAGCCCTGTTTCTCTCGTCGTTCCAGGGGTGGAGACCAGGGTGGCCATGGGGTTCAACTGGGACGACTTCCTGAGGAGTGCAGGTACCGTGAGGTCATCAGACCCTCTGTGGGGTGTGCCATCCAGCTCAGGCTGGTCTGCCACACTCCCTCACTGATGGGTTGGGATGGAGATCACCTGCTGTCCTGTGTCTTGATCAGATGATGCTGTTGGGGTCAGTACCAGCAGCTCTTTTCTGGGTTGTAAAATTTCCTCGTTAGACTTGGATGTTGACACATTAGCACCCCCTGTCTGTCGGGACAGAAAGTACCAGCTCGTCATTCAAAAACCTCCCTCAACTTTGATGATCGAATCGAGCACCAAAGAGGCATCATTATATCACAGCATGGAAGTGCAGAGAATCAAGGCATTAATAACCCTGCCCAACTGCAGAACGTCCCTCTTCCCAGTGCGGATAAATCTGATCGCTGCCTGTGGACAGACACTTCATGATAAACATTGTTTGGAAAACTCTTTGTGATGGGGCCTTAAAAATGCCCCCCCCCCACACCAGTCTATTAAAGACTCACTTTGCTATTGTTCTGGTCTCATAGAAATGGTGTAAAATAATTCACCGCGGGAACTGGCAGACCTTCCACTTCCTCTTTGGAACCACAAGTCAGGATTCGGCGGGACGGAGTGCCGTCGTCATCGTCTTCCATCGCATTCTTTCCGCTTCCCCAGACGGAGACACTTTTTATCCACTCTTACATGATTAGTTTTTATTGGTGGCTGATGTTCTGTATCGCTCTCCAGATTAGTTGCGGTATTTACTGGCGAGAATGGCGCCAAAGCAGAGACCCCCCCCCAAGCCAGCCAGCGAGAAACCCACCCACCCAGCCAGCAAATTGTTAATACTCAGCCCCCTTTGGGTTGCTTTCTTTACGCGTGTCAGACGGCACGGAGGAGCGGAGTGTCTCGGCCTTGTCGGCAGCCGTGCCAAACAGCGACCTCTTCCCCGGCTTCCCTCGTTTCTCGTTTCACTAGGAAGTCTTCCTTATGCCTTTTTTTTTTAACAAAAGCATTTATTTAATTGAAATAGAGCTGCTCTCCTTTATATTTTCGTTGCTTGTTCCATCTGCCACTCTGTCGCAAATCTCTTTTGAATCGCTATAAATCTGAGTCTCGCAAACCCCCCCCAGCTGCAGATTTGTCCACGATGTGCACTTGCTTGTTGTGCACTGGCCGAGCGCATGGGGGACCCTGCATTACCACGGAAACTGTAAGGTTCCAGGACAGAACCCTGAAGGGAATTACCCAGTTGAACCAATCATATTTCAAATGAGGCTGTCGTTGCCATAGGTTCAGTCTTGACTAGAAGGTATTGTGTGCAAGCTGGCTAATGCATAGTAATTTTTAAGAATTTGACTCCAGAGACCATGAAATTAAGAAGCTCTCTTTGCAAGACTGCAGGTGGAAAAAATAAGCCTGTAATTTGACCCCGTTGTGTCATGTTTGTAATATTTTTCGATCTACTGTGACAACCACAAGCACCGGAGCCAGTTGTTTGATTAGGAATTCCGTCCATTAGGATGTGTAGGTATACACCAAAATCCACTGCTCTGAGAGGATGTGAGACAGATCATTTGGGGTTTGCAAATCATGGCGAGCAGGACCAGGATGGCAGGGCGATGCACAATCATTGTCACAGCAACAACCGCCAGCTGTTCAGCTGTTCGCGGAAAGCTCTCAGCGGGAGACTGATGCATGGATGTACGTATGCCTTGTTTATTGCACGTAATAATGATCACTGAAGCTGGTGGACAGGGTCAAATGCAGGCTGCTTCGTGCCAGATCCCCACAGAGTTGAAGCAATTAGCACCGTTGCTGTCTGCCTATCAGTCACTGTGACAGCACTCACAACTTCCATTTAACTTTTGCTGCATGTTCGCGAAAACGCCGAGCATGCAATCGCACCTCCATCGCCGGATACTGAACTCGCGCTCTCCGATTTGCCTGCTGTCCTCGGCCGCTCTCCTTCCCACACGCATCAGGGATTCGTCCCGGATTTTCAGTCTTCGGGTCGCCGCAGGATCCGGGCCGGGATCCCATTTCCGATCGCAGGTCACGCAGGGCATGGGCTCGCACACATACTCACGTCTGTTTTGCTCAAGGCGTGGTTATTTTTGTTGTTAATTATTTACAGGCCTTTGTGTTTTAGTATTCATTTATTCATTTATTTCTGGCAGGGATTGCATCTCGAGTGTCCTGATTTATTATCTAATTACAATAATATAATTTGTTTTTTTTTTAAAGAAAAACAAAAGGGGGATACAGTTATTCTCTTAAAACACAAAGGACCCTGGATATCTTGTCGCACATCTTTTGTCCCCCATTTCAAACCAGTGACTACTGCTTGCAGGTCCGGTCTATTTTAAAACCTTGAGAATTCTTCCGAACAGTGACAAGTCACATTAATTAGCTAATTATTAGTAATGCCAGCTTGGTGAGGGCTGGCGTTCAATCCCTGGTGCTCATGGTTTGTTCCTTAGGGTGTGGGCGAGACACTGGGGATGATGGGAAGCGGACACACCAGTGGAGGGTGGTGTTCTTGTTAGTTCAGGAGACATGCCACTCTGAGATCAAACATTCAGGAACAAAAGAGAGGTTCCTGGTACACGGGGGTGTGAGACGGACGGGTACTTCGTCCCAATCGAGTTTTTCAACAGAAAGAGAGGTATCATTTCCAGCTCGCTCGCTCTCTCCTTTGTCCTTGTTCTCCTATTCCATTCGTTCTGGATTTCTCAGCCCCTTTGATGGGCTTTATGTTCATAGCTTTTGGGTGTAAGGCAGAGCATAGGTAATTACTCACCCGAATTACTCTGCATGTCACTCCCCTTCAGGTGAATTTTCACTTTCTCTTTATACATATCGAATAATACTATTGCATTTTCAAGCACCTACGCATTCTCCAAAAAATGAAGAAAAAAAAATCTCAAAAGTTTTGAGGAGTCTGTAATCCTGGGGGCTGTTTTTGAGGAGGGATAAGCAACCCAGCCCACCCCCCCCTCCAATGCCCCAAGACACTTTTAGCGCCACCTTTCTGGGTCCCCGTCGTACGTGACGATGGTCATCGAACTTCTTAGATGCGAGCTACGAGCACTTCACGGCTGATTGGCGGGGTCTACTGGCAGATGGCGACGTAACAGATGCCGCTGATTGGCGGGGGAGGGGAGGGCCTTGGAATCGTCTTAACACCCCCTCCCCATTTACCGCGCCCCTGCACTTATGCTGGTCCTGTTTGTTTATCCAGCCCACTGCCCATTGCTTAAGTGGCCCAGATATTTAATGCACTTTATACCTACGCTTATCTAAAGTGCTATAGAATCTGTTGAAAGTTAGCCAGAGTAGCCACAATCTAAAGACATGCTTTGGCATAAAAGGTGATTAGGTAGATTAAGAAATAAAGAGGGAAGATTATAGTAGAAATGCGTGCGTATGACGCATGGTTGCCAGGAAACCGAGTCTGACATGCTGGTATAAAACGGAGAGAGCAGGAGTTGCAGGAGCCACATCGTAACTGGATGGAACAGGAGACCTCGGAAGGAGGTCCCTCCTCTCCCCACTCAAGGTGCCGGCTTGACGGTGTGAGATTATTCACTTGATCGTCCTTATCCACTCGGTATTTCATGGCTTTGGGGGTCATTAATATGATTACCACCTATATGATTAATTTATGGGTGGTGGGTGGGCAGCGCTGTTTGAATGCCACCCCCGCTTTGTAACTATGCATGTTCTCCCTATGCTGTGGCATTCATGCCTCAATGCAAAGGCAGGCAGGAAAGCATGCCCTGAAATGCCCAGGGTGGGTCATGGTGAGATGGTGTCATGTGACAGACTGGCATCCTGCTTGCAGTTGTACTCCTGCCTTGTGGTCTGTGCTTCATGGGCTCTTATCCTGTGCTGGGTTAGGAGTTGGAAGCTGGATGAATGATTTATTTAAAGACCACTGCACTGGTCAGAGTAAATATCAGACAGACTTTGCTTGTAGATCAGTGATGGAAAAAGAGTGTGACTCTTTTTCTTTTGTATCAAGCAGCAAAAAAAGTTGTAGCATTATGTGTTAGATTTCCTTTGCCGTAATTGACACCATGTGATTATTGCACGTGCAGACATGGCGATGACGATGCTGAAGCGATATATCGTGCAGCTCCACTGTGGGACCAGTCATGAAACCTAGCACATGACTCCGAGTCCCGTCCCCTTGACATTACCAAGAATGGGCTCTGTGGCTCATTCATGATGCATGTGTCACCGCAGAAACGTTACTTCTTCTATCGGTAATAGAACTTCCCGTTTCGCCACTGACACAATATCTGCCCTGGCTTGACAGAAAGTTTCCATTGATGACTGGACTCATCTGTGCTGATACAGTGTACATACCTAGTTGATGACTCAGTACTAATTAAATACTACAAGCCAGCTCTTAACTACAGGGATTACATCCAATAGTATGTATCACCATTTGATTTATTAGCAGACAAAATTCCTTTTTTAGTAATTTTAGGAAGGACACAATGTAAAACATGATGGTTTTAATAACTACAGCTTTACACGTATATGAAAGCAACTGTCAGATCAGTTCAATCTGCGTATTATAATCTCTTTCCTGACATTTTTGGCTGCTTTGAATTGTTAGAGAAAAAAGCTAATTGATTTCTGGAACGAAAAGTAGTTAGACAAATTAATCTAAATCATTTCTATAATGTTAGCCATTATACATACAGGGAAAGGTTGAGTCTCCTAAGCAGTCTGTGACAAACCAGGGTTTAAACAGGCCTTACTGATCATCGTTCGACCATCGTGGGCCGTTCTGTGCTGAGCATGAGTCAGCGCTGCTCTGCAGGCCCTTGCTGAAGATCCCCGCAAGCGGCATATAGTTTAATAGACCGGTAATGAGATTAAACGCATGTGTGCTAGCAGCTGCAGTTGGGATACGTCCAGCATTTTAAACATGGCTCCTTATTGCTACAGCTCCTCTTATCCTATCGAGAAAGCCAGTGTCGCTTCACTAGCGTTAGTGCGCGGCTGTCGTGAGTTAGCCTGCGCGTCGGAATGGGAGCTGAAGTTTGTGTGTAACGGTGAAGACATTGGGAATGGCCGGTAGGCCCAGCTGGCCCCCATAACAGGTGGACCTATTAAAAACATGACGTCATTTGCCCCGCCCCCTCATGAACACCATGTGTCCAGTCCATAGCTCAGTCTACTTTTAGAGAATGTTTCTAAATTTGACTTGTTTACCAAACTTTCATCCTGACAGTCTGACAGCCCTAAGGTGTTACAGTGTGTTTTTACGCAACTAATTCAATCCTAAAGTGCCTCTGCTCAGAAAAGCATCAGCAGTGCTGTAGGTTCAGGCCCCCAGTCACCGCAGAGGGGAACAGTGGTATTGGATCTTTTGGGGTAATGGATGTCCGATACAGTCCTCTGCAAAACAAGGAAAGGTGCATCTCTGTCCCGCTAATACTGTTGTATTAACCGTGCTGCAGAACTTAAACTGGCTGAGTAGTAAATTATACTGAAACAGCACCTCTCAAAGAGCAATAGAAAGTGTCACCAAAAAGGCTTTAGAAAATGGATCAGTTGACTAGGGCAGTGGGAGTGGGGCTGGTAATTCACACTGTCCGCCCGTGTGCTTTCTGTCTCCTCTGTTCGCATCTAGCCGTTTAGTCCATTTCTCCCCGTAAGTGGTCTGTAAATGTGGTGTTTCACACGTCACCCACCCGCCAGCGTGGCGTTTTGGTGCTAAGTGCAACATCCATGTCTGTGTCATAAGTTTCATAAGAGATTGACTGTCACGGTCCTTATGAGGTGGGCAGCATGTTGCCTCATTCCACTGGCGTTGTGGGTTCGAATTCCACTCCCCCTCCGTGCAGGTGCTGTAACTTCCAGATACCAAAGTTTTTTCCCACTGTCCAAAAACATGCTTTTAAGTGAATTGGTGTCTCAGAATTGTCCATAGTGTGTGAGTCTAAAAATGAGACAAAATACACCAATTTGGTGATGTCATACAATGAAGACTGTGATTGGCTAAAGAAGTGAAACGCATGCCCCTCCCTTGTTGATCTAGGGACACATCGAACTCCATAAAATCAGGTTGTCCTGCTGAAAGATGTGCCTTTCTCCTCTAATGGGCTCATGGGCGATGTTAGAGGTGAACTCACCTGATGTTTGGCCGGTAGTCTGTTGCTGAATGAAATGTGTCCTCCATATCTGGCAGCACTCTCCAGCTTCCAGTTCGGCTTCCGCTCCATTTTTCCTACATTTTTGGTGCACTTGGAGCTACGGGGCATGCAGCTCTGTTTCTGATAATCCCCCCGGAAAGAGGATCGGGCCCCTAAGCGGCCCTGACCCTCTAAATCGTATCCCTGCTTTAGCTGTTAGTGACAGGGTCTTATCTGCTTGGCAGACGTGGCTGGCTGCAGGGGCCACGCAGGGGCCCGTCCAGGAAGGGATTTCACACAGAACCAGATGATCAGTTAAAGTGCAGATTTCTCTGTCAGTGGTCCAGTGAGTTGAGATTGGGACTGTCTGTGAGGAATATGAATCAGTGGGAACTATTTGCATTCATTTGTGATACAAGGGCCACCCCCAAGGTACAAAAAGATAATTACTTTCGGCAGATAGAAGCAGGCGGTATGTTTAAGGAGTATGTCATTCCATCCATCCATCCATCCATCCATCCATCCATCCATCCATCCTTTTAATCATTTTTCATAACTGTTTATCCATTGAGGGTTTACTATGAGCTTGGAGCCTGTTCCTCAAGGCTGGGACAGAGGACAGCACTTGCACTCACACACGCTCGTTTAGAGACACGGTATTGCTGGACTGTAGATGGAGACCCATGTAATTTGCACAAAGGACATGCAGACTGTACACACGCAGTTGTGCGGATCCCTGGTCCTGGACACACACACAACTGCAGCGACACCCTCGGAGCCACTGTGCCACATGGCACCAGTGATATGCCTGGAAAATCGCCGGTTTGAGTCCCGGTAGAGCCCATCTGCTGTATGCGTATTTTTCAGCCGCCCAGGTGTCTGAAGGGGCACGCTGAAAAACGACTAGCGATGTAACTTCCTCGCTGTGAGTGTGGCTGATAAGCGGCTTCATTTACATACAGGGTGTAGTTACCGGCCTCCCCTGCATAGCAGAGGCGATACTCCATCTGCTGCCGCTGAGTTTGCTTCCCCGCTGTGTTCAGGGGTGAGCGCCATCGCCGAGGACCTGCGCGTCTTCCTGCTCGTCTGCGGCCTGCGGAGGGTGAAGGACCCACTCTACCTGCTGGAGGCCTTCTCCGGTGAGGTCGCCGGCCCAGCGGTGTGGGTCTGCAGGGGTCCCTGGGCCGTGCCTGGGTAGCCTGTGATTGTGTGAGGAACAGATGGCCCGATGAAGAGGCCTGAAATGGACCCGAGGCTCCCAGCGGCTCTGGATTTTCATTTTTATTCTTCATTTTTTAATTTTTCTTTCACAGAGTGGCACGCCCAGGATCAGTCGGTGATCCTCATCATCATCGGGCCGAAGGTGAGTCGCAGCCGAAGGCCATCTCCCACCTGGGGGTGTGGTCCAAACACGGGGCGTGCTCATTGGCCTGGGCCCGACGTGGGTGGGAGGGTAGGAGGACGGCACGATTCTTACGCGTGGCAGATGTTTGCGCGCGATAACGAGGCCTCAGCGCATCTGGGAGAGCCGGCCCAACGATGCGCCGACGCAGGCGGCCCCCGCCAACCCTAGAAAGGCTGCGGGCGGGTCCCGGTGGCCTGCTGGTCAACGATAACGAGGAGGCGGGGCCTGCGAGGGCTGTTTCAGACCTGTGCGGCTGCCCACACTGCTGCTTCATTTCCACGCTCTAGACGGGTCGGGGGAAAGCAGAGAACGGGCACATGTCTGCCAGCTCTGTGTTTGATCAAAGCATGTTCACACTGTCATCCGGTCCAGGGTGTAACCCTGGCCCTGTGCTCTGTGCTGCCTGGGACAGGCTCCAGACCCCCCGTACGCCCCCCCCCCCCAGCGACCCTGACCAGAATAAGTGGCTGGAAGAGGAACAAATGATCACGCTGCTTTATGTTTGCTAAGCTGACACTGTCATTTAGAGCAGCGTTTCTCAAACCGGCCCTTGGGGACCTCCAGACGGTCTAGGTTTTTGCTCTCTCCCAAATCCCCGGGAGTTAGGAGGGAGCAGAAACATGGACCGACTGGGGGTCCCCAAGGACCGGTTTGAGAAACGCTGGTTTAGAGTACATGTACATTCTACATTTTACTTTTGTATCTATTTAGCAAACACTTTAGTGCTGCAGCGATGCAGCAGTTAGAGGTCAAGGGCCAGTGACCTTCCGATCACAGGCACAGTAGCTCACCCCACTGAGACACTCTCCGCCCCCAGTAATGCATAAGGCACTATTATAATAGGGATATATATATATTTGTATTTCATTTGGCTGGCACAGATCCGCATGATACAGGGTTGGGGGGTGGAATGAGTTTTTTTTTGTGCTTTAACAAACAGAGAGGACAGCAGATAGAAAACAGCACGAATCGGGTCTGCAAATGGGTCATAACCGCTGAGGCTGGGTGATTATGTTTATTTAGCAACCTGTTAGAAAAGTAGGGTTATGTTAGCAACCTCAGAAAGTAGGGTCGGTCAGTCCCTTGAGCAGTTGGGGGTTATGCGCCTCGCTCAAGGACCCAGTGGTGAAATCACTCTGCCAATACTGGGATTTGACCCGACGACCTTCCGATCCCAGCCAGCGTCCCAACCTGCTGAGTCACACACCAGTCACCTGCCTGGGATGAGAATAAAAGAGAAAACGCACGACTGGCAGGTGACGCAGGTGACGCAGGTGACAGTGAGATCAGTGGGATATGGAGAATATCTACCCTTAACTGTTCTGGGGGGTATATGGGCAGGTGACGAAAACCGGCAAATCGCTTTTGATGCCTTTAGTGGAAAAGATGCAACAAACCGTGGGGACAAGCAGAGACTTTGCTGGGGCCCAGGTTCACGAACACTGACTTACAGCTCGCCTGGAATGACAAGGAGTTCGTGAATTTCCCCGCCGTTTTTGCGTAGGTCACGAATTCAACCCGCTCCCCGGAAAAAGCCGGAAGCCCCGCATGCTCTGATTCCTCGGTGTGTCCCGAGATCCCTCTCCCCCGCCCCGTAAAAAAAAAAAAACCCTTCCAAAGTAACCGGGAAAAAAACGAAGGAGACGGATGCTGCGCCTGGAATGATGGGTTCTGCATGCTGAGCACTCGGAGAAACAGCCTGCTTTCCATTTAAAGTATTGGATTCGCCTTTCCTGCTTACACATCGATCCCCCGAATGGCTCCGACGTGGGGTGGGAGTCTGTCAGAGCGGAGACTCTGGGTCTGCGCTGCTCCCACTGCACTTTCGTTAATGCATGGCTTTTTTTTTGTTTGTTTACTTAGATTGATTCTTTCGTTTGGAGAAGCGTCTTTTTATTTACTGTCTGTGAATTCAGGAATGTGGGACACACACCCACCCCAAGCCTCATCCCCATGCTATGTCTGCGTCACCCCACTCTTTCTGTACCCACTGCATTCTGTGCTGCTCGTTGCCATGATGATGCCAAACTGGCATCATCTCCCAAGGGTCTCCCTCCAGTGCTGCACTGGCATTATTCCTCTATCCAGAGAAAGTGGCCAGTCATAGAAATCAGGTCTAGGATCTACTGATGGGATGTCAATGCATCATAGGACATGCACATGCACACACACACACGCGTACCCAAAGACACAGATAGAGAGACACCAGGGGCCTGTATCACGAAGCAGGATTTGTTACTTAGCTGGATAACTTGTCAGATTTAAGGTGTCCCAGTTTCAGTGGGATTTATTTTTCTTCACTTACATCTAGCCTGGACTACCTGAAATCCGACAAGTTATCCGGCTAAGCAACAGATCCTGCTTGGTGATACAGACCCCAGTTTGCACTGTGTGAGGAGCTCGCGGGAGGGCCAATTTTAATCAACATATACAATTTCAGAATATATGTAAGTGAATGTATATAAGTGCATGTAACTATTTCAGTTTTTTGTAATACATTTAGCCCATTTTTTCCTCATGCTCATTTTAATGTTTTACTATCTGGAAAAAAATCTGTCTATTTCTGGTTGAAATGAAATCATCTTTCCATTTTCTGAGCCTTTTCCCAGGTGTGGGTGTCTGGCATTTATAACCATGGTTGTGTTGTAAAACACCATAGTCTAATACAGGAACTGAGCTGCGCAGTGTGCAGTGTGATGTCAAATTACAGTGCAGATAAAGTCCAGATAAGCCCAGCCAGGAGCACAGACAGGCTCGTGGGGGCTTTTCTGTTAAAGGATGGAACTCTCGCACTGCAATTAATCTGATTGGGAAGCAGCCAGTCCCTGACCCTGATTTTTGAGAATAGAGCCTGGGGGGTGGGCAGGGTAGATGGAGGAAAGAGGCATAGTTAGATGCCCTCCGAAATCCCCCCCCCCCCCCCCCCTCAAGTGAGACAGGGAGGATGATTGACCCCAAAGTGCAGCGGCAGTTGGTTTACAAAGGTGTAACATTATCGGTGTAAAAAACCCCCTAAAAATCACTAACGGCGACTCTTCTGAAGAAGTCTTGGCATTTTACTCTGCTGCAAATTTACATGATTCAGACACAGCACAGGTCATGCTGCCGTTTCAGTTTTTTTTTTTTTTTAGTTTTTTCTGAGAATTACCTTTTGAAACATTTCCCTCTCAGCCTGCTTAGCTTTTCTGAGAGGCTTTAACAAGAAAAAATAGCCAGGCCGTGATCTTTAAGTGCAGTCAAAGGTATCGGGTATCATCTGCTAAAATAATAGACACATTTTGAGGCTGAAAACGCCGTGCGTGGGACATTCACCGAAGATCAAAATTGCATATAAGTGGGAGAAATCATATCACCGTTGCAGCGATTTTTGTTAATGTCCAGCAGAGGCAAGTGGGTGGACGTGGGCTTTGGGGGTGTCGCTATGCCAACGGCCCTTCCATCGGTTCGGCGAGTGCCGATCTGGGCACGTGGCTGGAACGGCGAAGCTGCAGAGGTTGCTGCATGTGAATGATAATAGATTAGGGGAGGTAATTGGATTGCCACGCAGTGTCTGCGTCGAGTGGCGTCACTGAGACCTGGAGGCAGATCTCTGCCGTTGTAACAAGCCGCATATCACGGGGCGCCATCAACAGGAAGTGAGAAACGGCGGTCCCCAGGCGTGCTCAGGTGTCAGGATGATGGGGTTTTCATTCTGGTGGGCTGAACGCAGCGGCCTGAACGTCCCTGTGCTGGCTGCACGTCTCTCAGGCCACCCGGCTGACAGGTTTTATTTACCACTGTGCTCACAGCACCTCCTGGCAGCCACAGGAAGTCCAGGATCTAATGATCATCTATGCAAGGGTGCCTGGTGAAGGAACTGAATGTCACTTAGAATGGGAAGTGTCTGTTGTGTCCTTGGCTGAGATTTGTGCCCCGCATTGTTTCAGTGAAAATTGCCCAGCTGGGTAAATTAGTGAAGGAAACCGCTGCCCTGTGGGCGTGGCACTGCCTTGCCCTGTGGGCGTGGCACTGCCTTCCTGTGGGCGTGGCACTGCCTCCCTGTGGGCGTGGCACTGCCTCCCTGTGGGCGTGGCACTGCCTCCCTGTGGGCGTGGCACTGCCTTCCTGTGGGCGTGGCACTGCTTCCCTGTGGGCATGGCACTGCCTTCCTGTGGGCTTGGCACTGCCTCCCTGTGGGTGTGGCACTGCCTTCCTGTGGGCGACCCGCAGATCTGCAGGTAGCGGTACTAGGAGACCCCAGTGGAGTGGCGGGTCCTGGCAAGGCCCAGATGGACAGATGCCTGGGGCGGCATCTTCAGAAGCCCCCCCCCCGCACGTTTGATAACCGTTTAATTGCCATTGCTGGAAGTGATGCTTGGTTGGGCTTCGACTGCCACTGATGCAGAGAGTGGAAATGGCACCCAGAAGGGGGTGGGGGGAAAAAGCATGTTGGGTCACAGCCTGATGGGTCACATCCCCCCTGAGGTGTGTGGCCGAGCGACTCCGTCATGCCGAGTCACAGGGGGCCGGAGATGAAAGTCACACCGGCCACATGTGTGATAAGTGACCCTCCCCATCTCCTTTCAGGTCGATCCCGTGTTTGCTGGGGAAGTAGAAGAGAGCCTCAGGAGGTAAAAACCCCCCATTTGTTCTCTTCATCAGTTTGTGCCACCAAAGGTTGGCGGTCTAAGAAAAAGAAAACAGTCCATGTTCCCACCAGGTGTATTTTTAGGCTGTGTGAGATCCGCCAGGGGAGTTGCGGTACCTGCTTAACGCGAGCTCCATTCCGTGGGTGGTGAAGCAGATATGGAACAACATTCAGTGTTTGGCCTCCATTTCGTTATAGAGTCGCGAACACACGGGTAACAATGAGCCCCCCCACCGCCCACGCACACAGAAACACTCGTGTCTCTGACGTCACACGTGGCTCACAGGTCCACGGGCGTCTTCCTGGCTGAAGAGAGGAGTCAGGAGGAGCTGCACGCCGCCCTGAGAAGGTCCTTCGCCCTGGTCAACAGCTCCGTCTCCGAGGGAATGTCGGCAGCCATCTTGGAGGTTCCTTCTCCGTCACTGTTTGTTTTTCTCACCTCTTTTTCTCATACAGCCTAGAGGGAGATGTGCCGACACCCTTTCTCATATCGGCGGCCCCTACGTGTCCTCAAAGCTGCCCAAAAAGGGTTTTATCGGTTTGGTCTAAATCCTTTGCCGCAGACGTCCCCGGGGCTGATGGGAAATGCGTCCCCGCTGCCCGTGTCTCTATCTGGCCCTTTTTTATTATGGGAATTAGCAGCCAGTGAGCCTCTCTGCTTGGGTTTATCAGCCCTGACGCTTTTTTGATGCCGTCCCCTCCAGGCCATGGACCTCGAGGTGCCCGTGGTGGCCAGGGACGTGCCGGGAAACGCCGCCATCGTGCGCCATGAGGGCACCGGCCTGCTTTACTCCACCCCCCAGGTATGATGGGTGTCCTGTGTGTCGCGTACCACCAGCCCCTGACACAATTATACACACACACACACGCGCGCGAGAGAAGACGACCTATAGCATTCTGCAGGACATGTATCATCGGGGCTTATTGACTCACGCTCTCTTCATTTTCACATTGTTGTGCCTCACATACTGTAGCCTTCATTTTCACATTGTTGTGCCTCACATAGCCTTCATTTTCACATTGTTGTGCCTCACATAGCCTTCATTTTCACATTGTTGTGCCTCACATAG